GAGCTGCTGGGTGAGTTCAAACTATCAGCCTTTTGGCTAACAGCCAAACACTTAACCACTGTGTCATCAGGGTTCCTTAAGAATATAGGTATGTATAACACAGCATGTATACAGCATATGTACAATATGTACAGAATATGTATAGTACAGCAAAACAGAATGGAAAGCAAAAGGTACTGTGTTAGTTTTCAGGAGGGGAATATAACCAAAATAGAGGATTCAGAGGAGAAAGCTGGGGTGGAGTGTCAATCAAAAGATCAGGAGTGACCTTGTACTCTCTGACAAGAAGCTTGATTGCTATCCTGTGGGTTACAGGGGGACATTCTCCAAATTTAAGCTGCAGAGTGATAGGATCTAATTGGTCATTTGTCTTTATGTTGTAATGGGAGGTAATGAATTGAAATTGAGTAAAATTGAAGATTGAAAACTGGTAAGAAAGCTATCATAACAGCCCAGATGAGATGACAGAGGCCTTGGGGAGTTGTAGTAGGAATGATAAATAGGAGATTGATGTAGGAGACATTATAATAACTGAAAGGCTCCTTAGAAGTGAAGATGGCCAGACTTTGTCCCATGTATTTTGGCCTTGTCATCTGGAGGGTCCAGTCTCGGAGGAAAGACTGAGGAAATGGGGTCAGTGAAAAAGAGAAAGATCTCCACTGGGATGTATTGAGGATAGTACGGGACTGGCCTGTGTTTGTTCTATTGTACATAGGGTCACTATGAATTGGAACCAACTCACTGGCATCTAACAATTATGACTTTGGACATGTTATCAGAAAACACCAGTCCTTGGAGAAGGACATCATGCTTGGTAAAGTAGAGGGTTAGCAAACAAGGGGAAGATGGTCAATGAGATGGACTGGCACAGTGACTACAACAATGGTCTCAAACATAGCAATAATTATGAGGATGGTGTCGGAATGGGCAGGGTTTTATTCTGTTGTACTTGGGGTTGCCATGACTCAGAACTGACTATGTGGCACCTAAAAAAAAAGTAATCATAGAACTTTGAGATTGGTTCCATATATTGGGTTTTGAGGGAATTTGGTCAATAGAAGAAGCCTTTGGGAAAATGTCTAGGTTTTGAGTTTGATGATTAAGTAGATATTGTTCACATTTACTAGGGTGGAGAACTCAAGAGCAAGGAACAAGCCTGGGGAATTGGAAATAAGATGAGAATTCAACTTTGGGCTTATTGACTGTATGATGATGTCAGACAATTTACTACACAGAGACCCAACTCAGAGAGAGAAGTTGACATGAAATATAGGATTTGTAAAGCATCAGGACAGAGGTAAAAACTGAAGTGACAGAATGGCTTAAATCACTCAAACAGAGTATGTAGAGGGAGATTAGTGAAACGAAGTACAAACTTTGGGAACATCAATATTCAAGGGCTGTCTCAAGAAAAAGAAGTTTAAAAGGAGCTTGGGGTGGACTTTGGGGAAATCAGATGGAAAGGGCTGATGAATTAATATAAAGAAGATAACAGAGATCCAGGGAATGGATGAGAAGTGTAAAACTTTAGACAGTAAGTATAGGCAAGAAAAGTGTGTTGTCGTGGGGAAGTTTTACAGGGTGTCTTTTTCTTCTTCTTCTTCTTTTTTTTTTTTAGATGAAAGTCTTGAAGATATTTACATATTAAGGGCAGGGTTGAGGGATATGAGAGAGAGGTTAAATAAGGCTTGGGAGACTAGCAAGCTATCTGAGAAGAGAGGAGTATAAGATGGAAAGATAAGCTTTCTAGTGAAACAAAACAGAAGGATTTAAGAATGGACTAAGTGACCAAGAAATTTGTATATATATAGAAGAAAGATTGAGGAAATTTGACTTGGTATAGTCTCTGTCAAGTTCTAGCTATTGTCATCTATGTGATGAGGTCAGGGGCTTCAGCTTTAAACTGCCCTTGTGGAGACTGGAGGCAAAGGGAGCCTATGGAAAATGTGGGAGACCCACTGAGCAGTGTGGAGGACCTAAGTGATGTTATGATATCACCCATCTTTGTGTTAGCATGATGTTATTTATAGTGCTCAGCAACATACGTTTAGAAGTGAGTAGAAAAATAATAGCGTTCATCCAAAGTTGGAGTTGTTTTCTGGATTATAGAAAGAATGGAAAGCAAGGACATTGCTTAAGGATAATATGGGTAAAATGTTCAAAATGGATCTGGATTGTACGGAGTAAGGAACTGAAGAGGTGAAGAGGGAGATCGACTGGGAGAAAAGTAGATGTCAAAACACTGGGGTCTTGATGAGATTTAAGGACAGGTTAGTGGCATAAGTAAAGGTGAGGGCTGCGAGATTACATAGTTGTGGTGAGTCAAAGGGTTATATTTGGATTTTTCAAGTGTTCAGATTTCAGAGACAGTATAGTTCTGGTGAACACAAGGGCAAGGTCTTAGGTAGAAATGTGAATAGATGCAGTGCAATGGATCTAAGAAGCTATGGGGTAAGCAGACATCATTGGCAGTTGACATGATACAGAAATCACTTAAGATATTGACAATATTTGTCATGGAAAGAAGGATTGTAATCTGGGTGCATTTTGCAAATTTGAGTTCATTTACAAAACCTTACATTTTCAGAGACCCAGTTTTAAGGAGGAGTTGAAGGAAACAGGTACTGGTAAATCTGATTAAGTTTACAAATCATCACTTTTAACAATGAAAGTGAAGAAAGAACCAATGATGAAAAAGTAGAAAGGATCCAATTCGTAAGTAAAATCTTTTTTTTGTTTTTCATATTTCCAGTCTTTGGTTGTTCTCAGTCATTTCTTTTGACTTATAAAGTAGCCAGTAAAATTTACCTGTTACATAGCCACTAATTATGTGCCTAATATTAGCTAAATCCTTTACTAACTACATTCTAAAAAAGGATAATAGATCATTTATAATGAGCACTGACTACATGCCATAAACTTTCAGAGTGTTTTATATTTTAATTTGTACAAATCAGTTAGAGGCAGAGCTGGAATTGTGTCTCATGTAGTGTGGCTATCGAGCCAGCACCCCATTGGAGAGGAGGGACACAAAGTGAGGGAGACGAGTGTATCAGAGTAAGATGTCATTGTTAACACATGTTCCCATGTAATGGTGGGCCAATAGAATCCCCTCAAAGAAGAAAAGACTGTTAAATTATTGCCAATAAGAAACTGAAATAAGACTTAAATAATTGATCCAACAAAAATTTGAGCACCTAACCTACATATGTATTAAGTTTGGGTGTTGGTAATTGGAGAAATATAAAAAACCCATAATTTTCCTGAGATTTGCGGGAAACTGGTTCCTGTCTGGAGTATAGGTAAAAGAAATATGATAATGTGGTCGCATGCCAAAAAATTGCTAGTCAAATGGCCTAGATATTGAAATCTTTACCATAAATGGAAAAGTAAGATTATTTCAGGCTGCAAACTCTAGGGACTGATTTATAATATAGGCACACCTCGTTTTGTTAAGCAGACGTACTTTATTACGCTTTGCAGATATTATGCTTTTTACAAATTGAAGGTTTGTAGCAACCCTGCATCGAGCAAGTCTATGAGCACCATTTTTCCAATAGCATGTGCTCACTTTGTGTCTCTGTGTCATATTTTGGTAATTTTCACAATATTTCAAACTTTATCATAATGCAATTGCATACTTAAATGACTACAGTATGTTGTTGTTGTTGTTGTTGTTATGTGCTGTCGAGTCAAACCCGACTCATAGCGACCCCTCCTTGGGTTTCCGAGGCAGTATCACTACGGAAGTAGGATTGCCCAACCTTCCTTCCAAGGAGTGGCTGGTGGGTTTGAACTGCCAGCCATCTGGTTAGCAGGCAATTGTCTTAGCCACTATGCTACCAGAGCTCCCAGACTACAGTATAGCGTAAACATAATTTTTATATGCACTGGGAAACCAAAACATTACTGACTTGATTTAATTCAATATTCACTTTATTGCAGTGATATAGAACTGAACTTGTAATATCTCATAGGTATGCCTGTATTGTTACAAACAAAAGTAATATTAACCAGATGATTTATTCACACACACACACACACACACACACAGTAGTGGGACTGATAACAGTAATAAATAATTTTGTAATAACTGAATAAAGTTATCATTCACCAATGGGGCCATTTCAAGAAAAAGATTATTGTAGCTCCTAGCTGAGACTAAGGTAATTATTAATCTTTATTACATCTTGCTTAGGAGCTCTGGTAGCGTAGTGTCTAAGGTAATTGACGGCTAACCAGAAGGCTGGCGGTTCAAACCCACCAGACACTCCTTGGAAGGAAGGTTGGGCAATCTACTCCCGTAGTGATACTGCCTCGGAAACCCAAGGAGGGGTCGCTATGAGTTGGGTCCAACTCAACAGCACATAACAACAATGACATTATATCTTGCTTCAGCCAAAGAAGGCTTCTGTAAAGGTTATAATATTAATCCTTCAAATGAGGATCCAGTCTGTAGATAGTTCTAGAAAATTTAGTTGACTTTAACAAAAGTGGTAAGTTTGGAATGGCAATGTTTAGTGTAAAAATAACTTTTCAGAGATAGTTTCAAAAGAGCTACAGGGTTCAAGGTGAGTGAAAATGGCCATTACATTAGTAAGGCAGGCTCAGTAAAGGGGAGTGTTGAAGGAAAACAAATGTAAATTTTGGCTTTCACTGGCAAGCTGGCCAAAAACTCATTTAAATAGTACGGGAGCAGTGTATTCACTGTTTTAGTCAGCACTGGTTTAATTTTCACTTATCTCAGAATCTTAGATGATTTGTTTTACTGAGTCTATGTATGTGCCAAAATTACATCACCAGTTAAATGTTACTGAAGATTGTGGACTCCTGTATATTTCTAAAGAAATCAAAGCTATACCTCCTCTTTTTAAAGTAAATCTTATTTTCACATTAAATTTTTAGCGTACTGAATTTTTCCCATTATAAATCATTAAATTTATGGAAGCAACTCTTCAGCTAACAATTTCACATTTGTGCTGTTTTCTGAGGAGACTTACTTCATAGGAGAGAGAAGCCAAATTCCAGGGTTTGCGATAGTATGTCAAGGTGTTTCCATCCCGAACCCGCTCACAGATGCCATTGTAGAACTCATTGTCAAAAGGAGTGCTTAGGGGATCCATACCTAAAATGTTGATCCTGAAAATAAGCAGCATAGCCTCAGGTGTGGAAATACTACATCTTATTAATGCAAGACAGCCCTCTGTAGCTGGAGAAGGAAGGACTGCTTTAGTTCCTGCCTCCATCACCCCAAATGGACAGTGTATAATCAAGAACAGAAGCAAGAGTTGTTCACCACAGCTCAGTGTCTCTCAAAGAAAGCATACCTTAGCAGGGCCTTATGAATGCTTTTAGGTAACTGTGGTACTGTTCAGAGCAAAATGAGAGAAATGCAGCACATAAGGCACAAGGGACCATCTGGCTCCTGGAGTCTAGCTCCACCTCTGTAAATCTTACCTAATCTCCCTTAGTGGACCAAGAACTAATGCTATAATATCAACCATTACATTATTTGAGAACAGAGCATCTCAGGGGGCCATATAACATATGCATATGATTTTTCATCTATGAATCAACATTGGGTCTCTTTTCTCTCCCCATTTTCTTTAAATTTAAGCCTTTTCCTGCAGCTGTCTCATTGCTTCTCAAAAACCTCATTCCCTCCAGGCTCATATTATTCCTATTGTACTTTCCAAGAGGAACACAAAAATGTCAGCCAAGCACTCTTAAAAGTTCTCCTTTTTCTTCCCAGTGAAATCTTTTTATTTGGCAAATTTTAATGCAGAAATAGGAATCTTGTTTAGCCTTAAGAATGTAAAGTGTCAATTTATAGGCTTAAAAATAATATGTGGCCCAACAAGAAAATGGAATATTATATAGCCACAAAGAGAAATAAAGTTCTGGTACATGTTACAACATGGATGAATCTTGACAGCATTATGCCAAGTGAAATAAATCAGACAAAAAAGAGGAATATTGTATATGACCCTATTTATAGGGCATATCTAGAAAAGGTAAATACATAGAGACAAAAAGTTGATTACTGGTTACCAGGGACTAAGGGGAGTAAGGAATGGGAATTTATTGTTTAATTAGTATAGAGATTTTGTTTATGGTAATGAAACTTTTAGAAATAGATAGTGGTAATGTTTGTACAGAAGTAAAACAATATATGAACAAGAAGTAGCTATACTGCACCAGGACTGGAGGAAAGCTCTTCAAGAATATGCAATATGCAAGACTGAAAAGGTACGACATTCTTCTTGTTACTACACCCTACACTGCTTGGTAAATGGAGGTGTGGCCGTCCCCACTCCCACCTACCTTCTGGGCCCACAGGAACTCCATCACAGTCTGTGTGCTCAGACAGAGCCTGGGTGCCCTACCCAGTCTTCCACT